TGTGTGTGTGTGTGTGTGTGTGTGTGTGTGTGTGTGTGTGTGTGTGTGTGCGTGCGTGCGTGTTAAGATCACTGAATATCGAAACCAAATCCATTGAAATCTGTGTGTGTGTGTGTGTGTGTGTGTGTGTGTGTGTGTGTGTGTGTGTGTGTGTGTTATGATCACCCAATACCAAAACCAAATCCTTTGTGTATGTAAGATGATCCGATATCAAAACCGAATCTCTCGAACAGCCACAATTTCTTGCATGTGTCTTGATATTTATGTGAGTGTATGTGTGATTGATCACTTGGAGGAGGAGGAGGAGGAGGACGAGGAGGACGACGAAGATGAACGGCAGGACTGTGCCTCCTACTTACCTACCGTTCCACCTCTCCTATGTTCAATGTGATGGAACGCAGGCGCTAGAGTATTTCCAAAAAGCGGCTCGACACGGTGACCCTGAAGGACAGTACAACTTGGGAGTGATGTATATGAATGGGAATGGCACCGAGAAAAATTTGGAAGAGGCGTTCAAGTGCTTCATTGCTGCAATGACCAGTAATCATTTGGGGGCCATGTACCAGTTTGCCAAGATGCATCACACGGGCATCGGAGCGCGCCCACAAGTTGTCACGGTAAGTTGACTTTGACTTTGACTTTGACTTTGACTTTGACTTTGACTTTTGACTTTGACTTTTGACTTTGACTTTTGACTTTGACTTTTGACTTTGACTTGGTCGGTCGGTCTGTTTTGTGGAGCCTGCTAGCTGTGCAATTGGAATTTCTGTCGGTGCCCTTAATTATTTACGGATAATAAATTGAAATATATTATTAATATAATATACAAAAGAAAAGGGAACCTGACGTGCGACAGGTATTGGAGCACCCACGGGTTGTCATGGCAAGTTGACTTTGACTCTGACTTTGACTTTGACTTGGTCGGTTGGTGTGTTTTTCGGAGCCTGCTACCTTCTTCCCCCGAATACAACGTACGGTCATTATAGCTGTATTTAGACTGAAAGATACCCCAAATTCCGCTATAATGATCGTATGTTCTATTTGGGGGAAGACTGTAGCTGTGCATTGGCATTTCTCCCGGTGCCCTCAAATTGTTATCGATCTTTATTTATAAATTAATATAAAGAAAAAGGAACCTGACTTGCGGCAGGTATTTCAGCACCCACTGGTTGTCACGGCGAGTTGACTTTGACTTCTTCGGTCTGTTTTTTTGTAGAACCTGCTCTGCTCCCTGCGCGATTCAAATTTCCATTTGGGCTCTCAAATTTGTTATAAGATCAAATCATCAAAGCAAGAAAACTGAGAAAAGGGAAAGAACTTGAAAGAAGACGAGAGAGGGAAATAAGGAAAACGGGGGAGGGGGATTTTTTTTTTTTTTTTTTGACCAGGACAAAGACGGCAACAAACAAGCAGAAAGTCAAACGACTCGTCAGTCTGGAGCTGGATGAACGCGGCACGTGGAATGCGAAATTGCCAGCGTGAACCCCTCTAAGAGGGGAGGAAAATAAAAGCGTTATCTCAAGGGCGTCGTCGGTTATCGTTTTGTTTTGGTTGGAAACGGGGGAGGCCGCAAAGGGTGTTGCAGAATGCTATGAAGCTGAAAATAGTAAAATAGTAAAAATTGTACAAATACTGAATCGAGGTTAAACCACTAGTACCTCTGAGCCTGTTTTTGCCGATCCTGAATTTCACTGTGCTCCGAGTTTGCCGAGCCTGGGTACCACTCCGTTTTCTTTCTGGTACTCTCACGGAAAGAACAAAAAAAGAAAAAAGAAGAAGAAAAGTTATGGCCGTGAACTCAGAAAGAAAGAAAAAAAAAAGAAAAAGAAAAAAAAGAAAAAAAAAAAAAAAAAAAAAAAAAAAAAAAAAAAAAAAAAAAAAAAAAAAAAAAAAAGACAAAAAAAAAAGACAAAAAAAAAAGAAACAAAGCTTTGGCCGTGATTGCAGTTGTGTACATTCTTGGAAGTGGTAGTGTGAGTGTGCCCTCAGTGAGGGCATCTCAGCTCCGTGGCCAGGTTGTCAGATTCCAAAAAGAGAATAGAAGGGGGGGAAAACGGGCACACGGATCTGGCCGTGAAAATGGCTGGATACATTCCCCTTAGTACCAGTGTGATGCGTGTTACAATCCTCTAACAAAACACAGCTTGAGCAGATCACGGACGGCTTGAGCAATTCACGGATTCCCCCCTGCCTCGTTCATTGGCAGGGGACTTGTAAGAAACACACGATCAAGAAAAAAAAAAAAAAAACAGTAACATCCAGAATGTGACCGCCTTACCGGTGAGGTGCATTCTGTGGAGGAAGACTCGGAGCACGGCCTCCAAGACTACCCTGCCGGACATCATTGCAGTAGAGAGTATTTTCCTTTTTTCCTTTTTCTTTCACTCGCGGGCAATATAAAAATCTGATTTATGGGACAGTGCCGACCCTGTGTCCCACCCCCGATAACTTCGGGAACTGGCAAAACATCGTAATTTCCCAACACTGGCGGAGGTACTAGTGGTTTAAGGGGGAAAAAAAAAACTGAATTGAAGTCATTGATCGCTCGTGCGATATCTGTTCTCTCTTTCGTTGGCAGTCTTCTGTCTGGTAGGGATCTAGTTTTTTTTAAATCTTTTTTGGGTATTTTCCCCTGGTTATCGGAGTGTAATTACGACCGTACTTGGACTGTAATTACCATGACCGCCGTCCAGACGGTCTGGATTCAGTCCGGACTCCAGACTCCCGGTCTGGAAGGTCCGGATCTGCCAAATTTCGAAGGAAAAAAAAAAAAAAACGGTCCAGGACCCTTCCCCATTGAGGAGCCAAGCCCTCAAAATTGTTTTGGGGGGGTTTCAGGCCTGTTTATGCTTTTTTGGGGGGTCCGGACATGCTCTCTCTCTATAATAATTTATTAGACAACCCCAATTTTTTAATTATTAATAAGGCATTACCTTTTATTAGTTTTTAAAGTCTTTTTTTAAGCTTTTTTATAGTTTTTGACTTTCAACTCAAGTTTGGTTAGGAATTCTGACATGACTCTGAGGCAAAAGCGGTTTGCATTGTTATTTTGCATAACATAATTTTTTTTCAGATCTTTTTACTTGTAATTTTTTTTTTAATGGTCCGGACATTTCCGGACCAGTCCAGACATCCGGACCGTCCGGACCCCCATGTCCGGGGGTCCTGAAATGTCCGGAATTCCGGACGTCCGGAAACTACCGGACACAGGTCCGGTTCCATGTCCGGAAATGTCCGGGTCCGGGTCCGGCGTAGCCATGGTAATTACAACGGTACTGAGTTCAATGAGTTTTTTTTTTTTTTTTATCTTCTTCTTTTGGGAGTGGGCTCTTACTTGTCTCTTAGAGCACACTCTGAGAGCAGGATGTTCTCAACTGAATCTGGCCATCACTGCGGCCGGGTACGTACAGGAAAATAGAAGTGCCTGTATGAGTCCAGGTCTAAAGCAGAGGACTGTAACGATACCAAGGCATAGAAGATATCTATAGGAGGAGGAGGAGGAGGAGGAGGAGGGGAGTGTTGATGATCATTATGCCAATGAGGAGCAATTGACTTTGTCAAATGGATGTGGTAAAGAGGATGAGAAATTGTCAGATGAAGTGTTTGACTTTGACTTTTTTTTGTTGTTGTTGTTTCTGTCTGACTTAAATTATCAGGCTGCAAGCTCTTACAAGGCAGTGGCGGAGAGCGGACCTTGGGGGACATTGATGCGCTGGGGCCATGAATGTTATATGAACGAAACATTCGGTACAAGTCTTCTCCTGTACTTGGTAATGAGTGTACCTGTCTTTTTATCCCTCGTGCATTTGCATGCCCGCACCTGCTGGTCACATTTGGAGTGGACTCTTCCCATGTGCACTTTTTTTTTTTTTTTTTTTTTTTTTTTAAACCCCCACTACCTTTCACAGGCTTTCAGGATGGGRGGCTAAGTCCTYTTTTTTTTTTTTTTTTTTTTCCCCTCAAAAGTAGCCCACTCAGGAATTTTCGGGGGCGGGGGGCCATCGATAAATATTAAATTTCATCGGCGGCACCCGGCCTGCAAAAAAATTGAATTGTGCCCCTGATGAAATTCATCGGTAGCTTGTACGGGAAAGATAGTGGTGGTTTTAAGGACAATTCCTCATTTTGAAATTAATAAATTATTATTAAATGGATAGATATTAGATAATAGATATGGCTCTTTTGTCTTTTGTGACTCTTCATGGTGTTTGGAGGATGCATGCTCAGTAGGGGGGAATGGCCGAAGCACATGTATTAAAAATTGTAATATTTTAATATTATTTTTAAACTTTTTTTCGTTTATAATTCTTATGATATGAATCTTATTGATAAAGCCTATTAAAAGGTGCAATTTGAATTGAAAAAGTGTGAAAGATGATGAAAGATTTGAGAGAAGAATATAGCATAGTTTTCATAATAATAAAAAAAAAGGTGCAATTTCCCAGATCGCAGGTTATCATTAATTAATAATTAATAATTAGTGGAACTCATTGTGCTGAGATGGTTGTTTTATTCTTGTCCTTTTTTCTTTTTTTCTGATATTTGTTATTTTTCTAGTCTTTTTTATCAATACTACGGGATGAGGGTGCTGAAGCTGAGAGTCGGTGACGGGCACCACCGCCTCCACCACCTGCAAAAATGAACGCCAACCGGACCGTCACTGCCGATCAGGCGCCAATCATCGCAAGAGGATGAGCGAGGGTGAACGCAACGATCCGCAAGCCAGTACCACGGCATCGGAAAGCCCCGACAGCCGCGACCGCTGCCAGCGACGAGCGAGCTGTCGTGAAAACCCGCCAAGAGAGACGACTCAAGGCCCGAACGGCGCTGCAAGTTAGCCGGATCTCGCATTGTGAAAACCCGCCGAGAGAGACGACTTGAGGCCCGAACGGCGCTGCCAGATAAGCCGGATCTGGCGCAACGCTCCCGCAAGGCCCGACTGTCAGTCTTGGGAAAACAGTTGGGACCCGGGGGCGGGCCTAGCAGAAACACTCGTCGGATTTATGCAGTCTCTTTGCTTTTCAGAGCGCGCGTGGGTTCGAGGGATGGGGCTCAGCGCATCTTGGAATACAAGTACATAGGGGAGCCTCCTCGATCCACCACTCACTACTGCAACACCACTGGACAATATGGCGGCGTATCTGGCCGTGTTCCAGCCGAACATTCGTTCTGATTTTGTACTGAAGGCCCTGCACAGCTGGCAGGGTTGTTTCGTTTGTTTCTTTTTCTTTTTCGCGTTTTCTTGCCCGGCGTCCAGTTGGTTTCGGTTGTTTCATTTTGAGCGTTTCTGGCCCCATGTCGAGTTGGTCTGTGGCCGCGTTTAGGGCCTGGCTCCACTACTCTCCAAATGTGCTAAATGAGACTGAATCTTGCTCTGGAACATGGAAAGCTACACTGCCACTGTTTTTGTCTTGTGTGTATGTGGTGAGTAGTGGAGCAAGGCCCTTAGTTTCGTACTTGCCGCGTTTCACAGTGTAAGGGTCTTGCTGAACAGTTTTTGCCTCACGGTCACATCGAAATTTACCAAATTTAAAATAAAATAATTAAATAATATAATAAAATAAAATAAACTTTTTTTTTTTTTTTTTTTTTTTTTTTGGGTCCGACCATGCAAATGTTCCAGGCCCACTCTGGTAGCCTAGGAAAAAAGGTAGTGTGTGTGGGGGGGGGGGGCAGGGGGGGGCGGGGGGGGAGAACAAAAAAAAAGGGAGAAAAAAGGGAAAAAAAAAAAGAAGAAGAGAAGGAAGACCCTACGTCCCCAGATCTGTCTGATCTACACAGGCCTGTGAGTCTTTCTTTGCTGTTGCTCAGCAAATCGCAGCATTAGACTTTTCGTGCGTCAGGTCAGGTTGGAAATAGCTGGTGCTCAGCAACTGGGGCTGTGGTCGTTTGAACTCATGACTTATCGTCAGTATGGATGGATTGCAAGGAAGGAACCCGACTGTTCTTCACTTGCTGGAGTGCAACAGATCACATGCATATACTCAGATTTTCACAGATTGCGATGTCTCACACAAAGCCCAATAGAAAATGAATGAGAACCAGGAAGCTCAACTCAACTCAACTCAACTCAATTATCAAACCCAGAAATAGAGAGAGAACATCGCGAGTTCAAAAGTGTACAGCGCCGCCAAACAGAGTTACGAGTCTTCTTCAATCAACATGAACCCCCAGGCCTGGCGCTTATCAGCACCAGCTGCCTAACGTCAACAGCGCCTCAACAGGTAAGTATCACCATAGCTTACTTCTTCCCCGCCCGCTGATCTCTCTCTTCTCTTCCTCTATCTATAGTCTTGGTCTACTCTCACTCATCATGCATCCCACTCTCCCTATCACACTAGGATCTACTCTGAATACCACTCACTGGTGTCTCCTACTGACTATCCCTACTAACATACCTAACTAGCGCTGGCGCAGCTATGGCTGCCTTCCCTCCAGCCAGCTCTCTCTTCCCTCTCACGTAGCGCTGCTCTTCAGCCTAGCGCAGCGCACACACATCTGGCGCACAAGCGCCACGGCACTTCCACACTCTCATGCGAAGTGAGCATCTGCCTAATGAGGAGGCTGGCCAGTCCTTTATAGTGCTGGCCTGGCCTGGTGTGGCCTGCATTCAGCCTCCAAGTGTCCCCGGGACTCGCACTTTGCCCAGTACCAGTTGTTGCAAAGTGCGTGTCCCAGTATCGATTCCCAAGGTCTGCTGCTGCTTTGGGCCATAGGGCTGGCCAGCCTTCTCACAGGGCAAAGTGTGTGTCCCTGTATCGTTTCCCAGTACCAGTCTTTCGGACTCCTGGTGGGAATCAGGACTGAGCTGGGACGGTGGACTTTGACTTCTTGCCGAACAGACACGACTTATTGTCGAGGAGACATGACCCTAACTCAGTCTTGAAAACTGTGTGGAATACCTGTTCGGGGAGGACCTGTTTGTGACTGTTCAAAATGACTTTTGATTACATTATGGATGCGACCTTTGCCTCAGGAACTGTGTCTTTTGGATTGCTGCTCGTGAATAAAAATTCGGGCCGACAGGGCCCCTCGCTGTTGGGGCATTCATCTGGGGTCTAATTCGTAACGGCCCTTTTAGGATTGTGGAAGAAGAGTACATGTTATCGTATATAGCTGGTGCCTGCAGCAAATCACAGTATGAGACTTTTCTTATGGCTTTTTAACGGTTTTATATATTTTTAAATTTTCATCCCACTATTAGAGTTAAATAGAGTGACGAGACTTATAATATTATGTTAGATTTTGAAACAGTCGAGAGCTGGGGAAGGAAAGGGATGAGGTTGTGGTTGCTTCCTTTTTTTTTTTTTTTTTTTTTTAAATGTGATTGGTTCCTCACTTTTTGGTATTTGTGCAGCTCTGCTTTTTCCGCATGCTCTCTACTGCGTTGTATTTGGGAACTTAGTTGTTTCTGAATAAAGTTATTTCCCGCACTCCAGCACTGTGGAGCTAGGTGCAGCATGCAAGCCCCACCTCTCCCTCTCCCTCCCTCTCCCTCCCTCCCTCCCTCCCTCCCTCCCCTTCCCCCCAAACGTCCCCCTCCCTGCATATGTTTGCATGCATTAGATTGGTACTTCTTACGGACCATGCCCTCCGGAAGCTTCCGACTTTTGCTTCGGGGCCAGTGGGGGGGGGGTTGAAAACCCCATTATCATTTCTTTAATGTCTTTTGGAACAAAATAAGGCAAAGCTTGTAGATAGGTTTTAAAAGGGGGAAAAAAAAAAAAAAAGGTTTTACACTAGGTTACCAGGGGGGACGTCTGGGACCCCCTTGGATGTCCGTCTTTTATATTCAAATTATTAAATTAATTAAAATTTCCATACCTCTATGACGTAAAGTTGTAAACCAATGTGTGGTTCTGCACGTTCCATCGCTTTTTCCAATTATTTCCGAAACTAATCTAAAAAAAAAACAAAAAAAAACATCATGAGCAGCTGGGTGTTGAGGTCCGAAATTGGAAGTGACTTTTTTTTTGGCTTTACATTGTTTACAGTCCACTGTGTCTCTCTGTAAGGGATCCGCTTTGTTTGAAGTGTTGGACGGACGGAAATCTGTGTGGAAATTGTGAACCTAACCTATATCTATGTCTCTGTGCAGAGGGCAGCCGAGCTGGGCTACGAGGTGGCGCAGAGCAACGCAGGGTGGTTGCTGGATAAATTCCATGATGTCTGTGTTGGCGCCACGGGTGACGCTTGCTCCGAGGATGAACGCAATCGGCGTGCGCATTTGTTATGGAAGCACGCATCGGAACAGGGAAACCATGAAGCAGCATTGCTTATAGGCGATGCGTACTTCTACGGCAGGGTGAGATTTCTCTTCTCCCACTCTCTCCTTCCTGTCTTCACCACTCTGCTTTTCCTTGCTCTTTCTCTTGTCTACCGTCTTCACGCGAATAGAACGCCTGGTCATGATAGCTGTATTTCGCACAACGTTCGGTCCAGATGCAGCGATAATGACCGGGCGTTCTATTCAGGTGAAGACGGTAGTCCTCGTCATATCCATTTCTCCGCCTCCCCTCGTTTTTGTCATCTCATGGGCTCCTCCTCCCCTCACATCCATACATCTCCACCCCTCTCCTACCGTCTTCATCCGAATAGAACGTACGACCATTATGTCTGTATCTGGACTTGAAGTTGCCCCACATGCATCTTTAAATTGTGTACGTATGTTCTATTCAGGAGAAGGACACTCGGAGTGACTCACTTCACTCTGTCTGTCTCTCTTGCTCTCCCTCCTTCCTGCATTTCTCTCTCTCTCTCTCTCTCTCTCTCTCTCTCTCTCTCTCTCTCTCTCTCTCTCTCTCTCTCTCTCTCTCTCTCATCGACCTGATCTCCCATACTACCAAGTATTCATGCCCTTGCCATTAAGGATTCGTTGTGTTAACTGCTTTGGCGGCAAGTTTAGCCGCTTTGTTTTCTTTTCGTCTTTCCCAGGGGAGTCTTTCAGGCATGAGTCCAAACAAGGGCTTTTATTAACTTTTTCGGAAGTTTTTCCCCCTGCGAGGATCAGGGTCCTCGGTAGGCCTATGGGGCCCTGTTTGCAGCCTTACCCGCCCTAAGTGAAGGCGGGCCTGGCTTTTTGCAAGAGGCCCTCGACTGTCWATTTCATATTTGGGGTCCAGGCAGTTGCGACGCGCCAGTTGGTTGAGAGAAACACAGGCCGAGCAACAAAGACATTTCCACGGCCCTCCGGGCCTTTCCAAAGAATGCAGGCCCTGGGCGTGATTCACAGCCTCATACGGAGACAGTTGGGCGCCCAACCGAACGAGGCCCAGTAGCTGCTGTACGCAGGCAGCCTCCTGGGGCCTTCCGGAAGCTTCTGGGCCCAGGCCAGCCCAGCCAGGCTGCGAGAGCTGGCCTGCTCTTTTCCATAAAGGAAAGAGCTCTGGCCAGGCAGCCCCATTCAGGCACTCGCATGCGAGCGGCAGCGCTGCTGGAGCAAAGGCTCGCGGCTGCTGGCTGGCGCTGAGAGGCGAGGTGCAGCACGTGCGGTCGTGCAGAGGAGGAGGGCGCTGCTGAGGGCAGCGCCATAGCCCAGCCACCATAGCTGGTGGGCTTGGACTACAGTGAAGCGCAGCGGTGGTCTTCGAGTGAAAGAGAGGACAGGTGTGGGTGTAGTCAGGGGATAGGTGAAGGATGATGATGATGATGATGATGTGAGGGCACTTACCTTGTATTGGCGATGGTCTGCATGGGCGACATCTTCAAGTACTTCGGGCTGCCGCTGATGTCAACAGTTGCATTCTCTTTTTGTAGTCTTTAGTAGCTGTGTAGGAGCAGGCTGGGCGCTGAGCGCCAAGTGTGAGTGTGAAGGAACNCAGCGCTGCTGGAGCAAAGGCTCGCGGCTGCTGGCTGGCGCTGAGAGGCGAGGTGCAGCACGTGCGGTCGTGCAGAGGAGGAGGGCGCTACTGAGGGCAGTGCCATAGCCCAGCTACCATAGCTGGTGGGCTTGGACTACAGTGAAGTGCAGGGGTGGTCTTCGGGTGAAAGAGAGGACAGGTGTGGGTGTAGTCAGGGGATAGGTGAAGGATGATGATGATGATGATGATGATGTGAGGGCACTTACCTTGTATTGGCGATGGTCTGCATGGGCGACATCTTCAAGTACGTCGGGCTGTCGCTGATGTCAACAGTTGCATTCTCTTTTTGTAGTCTTTAGTAGCTGTGTAGGAGCAGGCTGGGCGCTGAGCGCCAAGTGTGAGTGTGAAGGAACTGGACTCTTGTGTTGAGGGGAAGAGAGTTTGCTCTCCATGAACATTGGTTTTCAGTGCTACGAACTTCCATTGGTGTATTATTGGTGCAATGCTGCTCTCTGGACACAGTGTGACTATCTGGCTTTCAATGTGATGGTGTGAACTGGAATTGTCATCTCGCTGTTGCTTATTTTCCTTGCAATTTGGTATCAGAGCTGGTTCATATTGCGCTTCATTGGTTCTTCGCAATAGCTGTTGGTGCTTCGCATGAGGTGTGGGGCAGTGATAAGGCATTGGCGTTGAACGTTAGGCGGCCCAGGGTAGTGTGGGCGCGCCAGGGAGCTATGTGGTGACATACGGGGTGTATGCTGGATGATGAGAACTCGCTGATGTGACATATTAAGCTGAGGTGGAACCGCATTCTGCTGTTGGTTGTGCTGAAGCAAAGACCGGTCATCGTAATTGCACATCAGGTTACCGGTGAGAAATTTGTGGTTGGGGGCAGCATTTATGAGGTACGTTGCTCTCTTCCTTATCTACCCTCTTCATCTCTTCTTACCGTGACGAAGTGAGTTCTGTCTTGAGAGTCCTCTCGATGTGAGGTGTCGCGAGCGCTTAACCTTGAGAGTCGACATTCTTCCTGGGCAGCAAGCTGGTGGGAGACGGGCGAAGCCTCTGAAGGGCCCTGGACGAAGCACTTGGGTCACAGTCACCATGCCAACCCGCTGGGACTAGTACACGCATGCTTGGGCTGCAAGTCCTTGGTTCTGCTGCTTGCGCAATAGGGGTGGTGCCGGGCATGCCAGCCTTTTATGAGACGCTTACCAGACCGTCTATAAACATTTCTGGTTGGGGACTCGGATTGAGTCCAGCTGTGATCGTCGTCCTCACTGCGACGTTAAATAATTCCTGAGGAGATGGGGGCTCTCCTAAAATTCCTCCTGATCAGCCAGATCAACCGGGTGTAAGGCTCGTTCCGTACGAGGGTAAATAAGAGTGGACTGGCTGGCATGTTCGGCAATGACTTGGGGCACGGGGGTGGGCCGGATTGCACACCTTCAGGCACGCTGCTCAACCAGATGCTCAGGATCGTTGACACAAAGTGACCAATCAAGAAGGATACAGGGGGAGGGGGGATTCCGGTAACTGTTCACAGTGGCATTGAACGATCCATCTGCCATCCAGTATACATCTCCAACAGGAGATGTTATTTTTATTTTGATTATCTAGTTGTTACCGACTTGTCTAACAACTGACAGACAGCTACAGATAGAGTAGATCTTTGCTGTAGTACAATCTGTTCCAGGGTAATCCAAAAATATAATTAATATATCTTGTAGGACCTGACATTAGTTGTTAATATATCACCTAACTGTTTCTGTTCCAGCCGACCGAAATTAGTTGTGGTTCATAATCGGTTGTGTGTCAGGCTAAGGTAGGATTCAGTGTGGATTCTAGTTTAGATCACACACATTGTAGCTCATGAGTGATGCAAGCACTAGTGAGGAGGAATTGCTAGTGGACGACCGTAGGACAACTCGCGGGACTGCTCGTAGTCGACCCTTGACATTCTTGGAGTTAGGTCCAGGAGACGAGAGAAGATTGCGGAGAGAGGCTAGAGAGAGAATAGCGGCAAGGAGAGCGAGGGCAGTTGAGGATAGTGCCAAGACTAGAGTCTCAGCTATCACCGGTACAACCATGGCTACCTCAGCTATGTCGCAAGTCTCTACACAGGCCACTTCCTCAAGAGTCAGTCAGAGTGGCTCTCAGGTTTCCACTTGTCAGATTGCTAGCTTGCAAGTCAGCCAGCAAATTCACCTCAGGCCGGAGGACTTAGAAATTCGCCAAGCAGAAGAACTTCAGGATGAGCTACAGCGGCAGTTGGACGAGGCAGCAGAGAGGAGAAGGAAAGCCATACTTAGGAAGGCTAGACTAGGGAGTAGAATGCAGGAGCTAGGCAGACTGGAAACACTAGATGAGGCAGCTCTAGACCCGGCTGGTCGTGTGCTGCGCAATGCTTTACTTTCGGTAGCTGAAGCGCAGAATGTCCAGCAGGAATTGCTGGCCGATTTGGTGGCAGGCCAGAAACAAATCCTGGCTGAACTTCGGGCTCCTCGCACAGCGGCGAGGCAGCCACAGTTTGCTGTAGTTCCCCCTGCGAGTCCGGGTCCATCATGGATGCCGCCACACACAGGGCAAACCTTCTCTCCTATGTTTGGCATGCCCCCTCCAGGTGGTTTAGCAGCAACTAGTGGTCCGGTTCAAAAAGTCTCAGCCGTACCATCCACGACAGTGGTAACTACAGTCCCACTGTCAAGCCAGGCCCAGGTTAGTGTGCAGCAGCCAGTTTCAGTGGCAATGCAGCCGATGCAGCAAGCCCCTGGGCACATGCAGCCTATGCAGTGGATGCCCAAGATACCTCTGATGAGTCCCAAGCCTTTCTCTGGAGATAGAAAGGAGGACTTGGACACCTGGGTGAGGACTGTGCCTACTTATGTGAGGCACAAGCTCACAAGGCCAGAGCAAGAAGTTGTTGTGGCTGCCTCTTTTCTAGAAGGGTCAGTAGCTCGCTGGTTGAATGGTCCAGTGCAGCAACAGGGCTACGATCAGGATTTCGATGCCTGGGCACAGGCTCAGACATTGGAGCAGTTCGTACGGTCTGTCTACAATAGGTGGCATGACCCGCAAGGGGCTCAAAAGGCCACCGATGCTATCAACAACCTTTGTTCCCGYAGGTTCAAGGATGTTAGAGAGCTWACRGACACCGTAGAAYGCCTTCTCGTGGTACCTGGTGTGCGTTTTGACCAGCAGGTTCTCCTGACGGATTACCTAAGGTGCCTACCTGCAGAGGTAAGGACCAARCTGGTTGAYGAGGCCTATGTCGAACAGCACACCTTCGCTTCTTTTAGTAAGAAAGCTCTGGACATAGAGGCAAAGCTGGGGTCTGCGCATAAGGTATCTCATGATGGTAGGAAGAGACTACCCCAGGACTGGAAGAAGAGAGGTCAGTTAATGTTCGTTGACCATGATGGTCAAACGACGAAGGTTGATGAATTCCCAGACCTTGGGGAGTTGACAAAGCACGATGGGGCTAGTGAGACTTCAGATGGTGGAGTCGTGGCACCCATCAAAAAAAAGGCTAGGGGGACCGGGAAGAAGAAGGTAGGACGGTCCATGGGTCAGGGCGACCAAGGGACACCCGCATGGGTAAAGCTTGGTTTGGATTACGAGGTGTGGCGTGACCGCATTGCGAGGGGTACATGCATGAACTGTGGCAACTATGGCCACACGTCCAGGACTTGCCGTGGCAAGAAGGTCACAACGAAGGTAGTGGGTTTATCTTCGAACCTTGGGAGTGCTTCTGCGAGCAGCTCACCGGGAAACACCTCGGGCCAGTAGGAGTGTTAGCCGCTTTTACTCGTGCTAAAGTGGTAACGTTGCCTTCCCCACTTCAGGCGTTGGCCAAGGCTAGAGACCCACACATCGCCCCGCAGACACATTCAGACCCAGCGACGCTCTGTTCGAGAGATGTGTCTGAGGCCCTAGAAGAGTTAGAGACTGAGTGGTCAGGGAAGGACCCCAGGGACTCTTGGGCGATGATCAGTAGAGGTCCAAAGGGTGAACATTTTGTGGTAGAAGTAGATGTAGGTGGCCGCAAGGTTGGCGCCTTCGCAGACATAGGCTCTACACGGAATTTCATCAGTCGTGCTTGTGTGGATAGACTGCGATTAGGGGACCAAGTAGAGCGGCTTAGCAGAACTGTAGCTTCTACGCTGGCCAACAAGCACCAAATGTTGGTGAAAGACTATGTCAAGGACGTAGTCTGCACCTTCTCCTATGGAGGAGGGGAAGTGATCCACAAGATCTCCTTCCTGGTGAGCGATGAACTGCCATTCGATATGCTACTAGGCATGTACTACCTCGAAGTCTCGCAACCTCAGTTTGACTGGGATAAAAAGGTGTTGATTCACGAATTATCCAACGATAGATCTGTTAGATTGCAAAAGTTCAAAGCTAGCAGTCTAATAGAAAACTACGGGTGCATGTGTGCATCATCCTTCTATAACTATTATAAGCAGAATCGCGAGGAAGGCATGTATCTAGTTTTTGTCTCTGAGAAAGGGGAGGCCGTTAAAACACCCCCAAAGATAGAAAGAGTCGTCGCACAATATTCAGACCTTTTTGAGGAGCCCACGAGCTTTTTGAGGAGCCCAGGGGTGTGGTGGAAAGGGAGGTTGTACATGCGATAGAGATTGTCCCAGGTAGCAAGGTGCCTAGAGGACGAATTTATAGGATGTCTCCCGCGGAGTTAGATGAGCTTCGCCGCCAGCTCGATGGATACGGCCTAGTACCTCACCTTACGGTGTGCCAGTCTTATTTGCTCCAAAGAAGGGAGGAGGTCCATTAAGGATGTGCATTGACTATAGGGGCCTCAATGCCATCACCGTTAAGAACGCGGAGCCCCTACCCCGCATTGACAACCTCTTGGATAGAGTGCAGGGATGCCGGTACTTCACAAAGATAGACTTGAAGTCCGGATACCATCAAATTGTCGTTAGACCTGAGGATCAGCACAAAAACGCATTTCAGACCAGGTACGTTCTGTACGAGTTTGTGGTGATGCCTTTTGGCCTATGCAATGCGCCTGGTACGTTCCAGCACGCGATGAATAGGATTTTTCATGACTACTTAGACAAGTTTATCGTCGTGTACCTCGACGATATTCTCATCTTTAGTAGGACTGTAGAGGAGCACGCTGAGCACTTGAAAACAGTGCTAGGTCTCCTAAGACAGCACCAGTACAAGGTGAACTTGGATAAATGCGAGTTTGGTCGCACCAAGATCCTGTACTTGGGTCATGAAATTTCAGCAGATGGATTGAGGCCGGAAGATGCGAAGGTGGCCAGCATACGTGACAGCCTAGACCTCAGACTGTTACTGAGGTCAGATCGTTTTTGGGGATGACGGGCTATTATCGTCCGTTTGTGAAAAACTATAGTACTATCGCTTCCCTATTAACAGATCTAAATCGACTTGACACCCCTCGGGAGTGGACTGAAGAGTGTGAAGCAAGCTTCAAGAAATTGAAGTATGCTCTGACACACTACGAAGCTCTCAAACTTTCGGATCTTGACAAGCCGTTTGTTGTGACCACAGACGCCAGCCAATACGGCATAGGTGCGGTCCTTGCGCAACAGGAGGGGCCAAAGTTGAGACCGATCGAGTATATGAGTAAAAAGATGCCTTCTCAAAAGTTAGCCAAGTCCACTTATGAGAGAGAGCTCTACGCCCTGTACAGAGCGCTAGTTCATTGGAGACACTACCTCCTAGGAAGATTCTTCTATGTGAGGTCTGACCATGAGACTTTGCGCTGGATTAAGACACAGCCTGTGTTGTCAGACGCACTCAAGATATGGATTCAAGTGATAGACATGTATGACTATCAACTTGATCCTATCAAGGGTACGTACAACAAAGTGTCTGATGCGTTATCAAGAAGGGCAGATTATCTGGGCGCACTAGTCACTGAGTTTGGCATATCTGACGAACTCACTCGATCGCTGGTGGAAGCCTATCAGGGAGATCCAGTTATGTCAGAGATCATCCGTAGATTCCAAGCAAAGGACAAAAAGACTTTGGACGAATTTACGATGGTAGATGGCTTGCTGTTTCTAGGCAGGGAATAAAAGACTATGTGTTGCTAATAGTGAGTCTTTGCGTAGTTTATTTTTAGGAGAATGTCATGATGCAACTGGTCATTTTGGCTAT